AAAATAAATTAGAATAACCGAATGTTTTACCGTCCACGACTTATAATTAAACGAATTCCTTTTTATCATGATCCTGTCATGATAATACATTCCTAACTGATATCGATATGGAACGACCTAAGTTTGAGGATGACTTTTTTTCTGTAATGTTGCCATTTACTACACCACCAGTACTTGTTGTGGATAATGAAGTAGAATTTGTAACACTTGGAGTTCCTCTGGCAAGTACTTTTGGTGTAATGTATCTTATTGCTGCGATGTTTCCACTTGCTTGTACTACATCTAGAACGGTTTTTCCTGATTTCTTCATATCATTAACAACCTCCGTTGCCCAAGTTCCAACACTCTTTGCTGAACCTCGTACGATAGGCTGCGATGCTACACCAAGCACATCCTCGAGATTGTCATATAAAGCATTCTCAACGTAACATCCGTTTTGTAATAATAACTCAGCCATAGGAAACAGCGTTCTTCCTTCTTCTGTTACCATTTTCGAAGGTTCAATATGGAGCAAAGACAATAACAATGGCGTTTTCAATCCGTGATCTTCCAGCACCTCGAATCGACGTGCAGCATTTACGTCGGCTCTCAACGCAATAGCTTGCATCGCTAAAGGTATATCGTTTGCTTTTACAGCCTCAAAAAGAAGATCTGTCGCCGTTTTATCCTCGTCAACAAGAGAAAAATCGACAAATGCCCGATCTACATATTTAGCTGTGATAAATTTTTTTTTAACTTCACGAGTATCGGTACTTGTTGGTTTATGAATGGTTTGAGGCTTTTTTGGAGTCGGTGATGATGTAAGTGATGAAGGGAGTGACGTGGAAGAAGATGAAGACGGAACACGAGTGGAAGGTGTTATCATATTAATGAGATCTTCCCAATCGGAATCTGCAGCTGTTTCGGCAATATAATAAAATTTTGGCGGATCTTGTGGTGGAGAACCGTGTTTTGAAGACGACATAGGTGGATTATCTGCATGTTGCTCATTTGTTAAAAGTGTAGCTTCCCAAACAGCATTTGAACGTGCATTTCCGATTGATTTAATTAATTGAATAAGATCAGGTGTATAAGAAGTTGTGTCTAAGGTAAGAGACCTTATTTTTGAAATATGCGTGCCCAAACTACGATGGATTCCGGAACACTCTGAAAAAATAATTTATATTTTTGAATTAAATGGCCCAATAAGAGATATATCAAAATTTGCTATCGATTTCATGATAAGTTAATATTTACCTATGCATAGAACAATCCCTAAATTGATTGAGCACCATTCTGTCTTGCGCGCTCCACAGTCTGCACAAGAGGTATTCGAGATGTCCGCACCCTTGATAGATTCAATAATTCTGAC